AAAATACTGATTGTCTTTTAACTATAGAAGTATTTTGCGACAAATTTACGTGTGCCTTCATCATTCAGAATAAAGTTTCTTTAAAGAAACTCTACAGCTCATGTGTAACCCGACTGAAGTGCAGTTTTCGTTTGTATGACGTAACGACCACCTTAACCAAGGCAAAAGAATTCTTATTTCGTGTCGGACGTCCTTCTTGTGTCAGAGTTCTTCAACCGTCCTCTGACATGTTTGTCTAAATAATCTTAACCAGGACTACGGCTGAATGTGCCCTCCAAGCAAGAAAGCTTCTTTCTTTTCGATCAATCAGGTGTATCAGCCTGCGATGTACTAACCAAACTGGGAACAAATTCACAGAGTGATTGAACCATCCCCGATAATCAAAGTTGAGACTTCTGGATCTGAGACCAACTGCGAGAATCTGCATGAGGCAAAAGCTAATATTATGCTATTTTCTTAGCAACACATTGGTACCAGTTTCTTAACAACCTCCAACACTCGAAAATAATACCATTGAAAACGAAAAATAAGGCAATCATGTTCACTATAAAGAAGTATTACGTACTATCACTCCATTGAACCGCTGTCTTAAACATTGGCTTCTCCGAACTTTTTTCCTCATGTCTGTTACTAGCCGAAGAAGTAGCCGACGACGTTGATGATGCATTCTCTTTACTCTATAAGAAAAACGTTATTAAATAAATCAAATAAATAAAAGTATTTTGACTGATTACTTTTAGCCCAATGAAACTTCGTTAGGAACGCGTTCGCAAACTACTTATGCTAAAATCACTTTGACTATAGTATTATGGTGCTGTGGGGTACCTGACTGCAAATGCAAGACCAAAGTAAATAAAGATTTGAAAAAAAGTACCGGCTTAAACATCTCATCTGTCATGTCCAAGATTTCTTTAATCTCAGGCCTTGAATTGACGAAGTCCAAAATCAATACACTTTTCGAACAGCTCTTCTTCATCATCCACGCCTTCTATTGGGGTGAAGTCAATTCGTAGATGCTGATAGTGGGCTGGCTCTCCATAGTCGTAACCTAAAAGTGGGGTAACTTTTGGAAAACCGCCTTTGTGATCAAAAGTTTGATGGTTTCAGGTTCGTTTCTTGGTGTCGATATTCGTAAGTTTTGGGATATTTAAGATGGTTCTAGGAACATTGCAGACATCATCTGGAGGTCAATTTCTGAAATGTCTACAATAACTGCTCTAACCATCGTCCACCTCTTTTTATCTACTTTTCGAATTTGTTAATGGTACATGAAATTGATTAGGTGAAGTGAATGTGTTTTGTGCAATGATATTATATGTTACTAGCGTAATTTTGCATAATAGAACGTTTATTACAAGCACTTTATAATTAGTATAAGCAGTAGCAGACATGCTCATGCAAAAATTGTGGAAAAAAATTAAGTGTCCATAGTTCAATGGGCAGAGTACTTATCAATAAGTCACCGATCAGCAGAATAAAGTAGATTAATAACACATTTAGATACATCGTCATCATCCGCAGAAAATGGATACCTTTCCGTTGATGGCGCTGAAAACAATCATTCATGTTATAAGAATTTTAATGCAATCCTGTTTCTACAAGCTAAACAAGTCAATTAGACATTCATCATTAACATGCTCATCTTCCTGCCCTTATTTCTAATCAGTTGGAATCAGAGCAATATGATTTGTTAGAATATAACACACAAAGAAGCAAAAGGGTTTAGCTATGTTTTATGACCGGCCGCCTACCTGACGTCAACCCTATTTGGAAAAACTATTGTTGGTGGTATCACAGCCACCATAGTCACCAGATATACAGCCTAGGTCAAAAACTCTACGTCGCCTTTACGAACACCTGAGTGGACTAGGGCGGCAGTATTCTTAGCCGCTACCACACGGCTATGTACGCTGGTACTCAAATCTTTTTCACTAGCTTGAGGAGCTTCAGTTACTATGATACCTGACTAGAGTAGACACGGTGATTCAGGTTAACTTACTGTCATTTTCTGTCGCGTCAGGTGAAGATCGATCCATAATATTATTAAAATCCCCTAAAAGAAACGTAAACTTTAATTAAATTAACCACTGTGAGGTGTAGGATATGATAAGTTAGGCAAATTCATAGAAATTGCATCGGCTACATAGATGGTCGGTACACAAAGCACATCCTTCTTCTTGTAGCATGGGCTTGGGCACCAAATCGATGAACATTTAATTACGCCTATATCCCTTGCGGAGAAGGCAGAGGGTAATCCCTGTGGGGAATCCCTTAGTTGTTTCTTACAAGTTACAGCATCCACGGGAAAGATATGGGCTGAAGCTATTTTAAGCCGGCACCACACGGCAAATGAGGATACCAAACAATACCTCATGTGCGATAACCACAACAACCGTTCAGGACAAGTACCTAGATCATGTAGAGAGTTGGTGTATTTTTTTTTTGTCGACGAGGGTGGCCTTTGCCCATGGACAATTTATAAAGTTAAGATAAGGTGGGTCTAGTAACTCAGTGCATTGCATATATTTTGAAACCGAATGAGCCTACAAGCGTTGACTTACATTCACGAAACCACTCGGACGTCTGGCCCCTTGAAGTCGCAAGTTTAGTAGACACGTTTTTTATAGAATCATCAGTTTGAAGATTGTTAGGAATATTCTCATCGTCAGCATTAGCACCTTAAACAGAATTGCGTTACAATCAATACCATTCAATACTCCAACTATTAAAAACTTACAACCGCAATTTTATATTTGGATTCGGTGTGGAAGGAGTCGGAATTTTGAGACACTGCTAAGAAAGGGAACAATCGTACATGCGACCCCTATTGTAAAAACAACACCCCTTCATATTTAGGTATAACAGGCATTTTTCAATCTTTGGAAAACTTCCAAAATTTTCACCGCAGGCAGGATTTGAACCTGCGACCTTCGGCATCAGTTGCTGCCGCGCCCTAACTGGGCCACCGCGGTTCTAATCGAGCCCGCGAAATTATGGAAGTATATCTTGTCCACTATCGCGTATTCCATAATTTCGCGGGCTCGATTAGAACCGCGGTAGCCCAGTTGGTTGGGCGTCGGCAGTACTGATGCCAGGTCGCAGGTTCAAATCCTGCCTGTGAGAATGGAAGTTTCCAAAATGTTTACCTAACACGAGAAGTGTTTTAAAATTTGGTATTCAATTTTCAATCTGTCTGTGCGAATAACTCCACTTGACTTTACTATCCTCCTATTCTGACTTGGGCAACTCGCTGCATTCCGTCGTTTTTAGGACCGACAGAGACCCTTCGTTGTTCTGATTAAGTTCTGGTTGAACTATGGTTGAGCTCGCTTCATCTTCGACTTTCTCTTTGAAAATATCTGCTCTAGTTTTTTTCCAGACTGGGGTCAACGGTCATAGTCAACAGCAAGCTTTGAACAGCCTCATCATTAGAATAAAAAAACAAAAAGGTCCCTTAATTAAAAACCAATTTTTTTAAAACACTTACCGTGTCAGGTATACAATTATTAAAACTATCCCGGTAGATGGAGCGGAGCCCTGACACGCGTTAAAGGCCAAAATATATTAGGTACTTAGGTACTTGCAGAACCGCGGTAGCCCAGTTGGTAGGAGCGTCGGCAGTACATATGCCGAAGGACACACGTCCAAATCCTGCCTTCGGTGGAAGAAATGGCAAGTTTTCAATAAGAAATTCCCTAAATATTCTGATAGAGATATCTTACTAGTTACTCTCGTCACAGCTGGAGTTGGTGGTATATGGAAGCTTGACTCCTTTTCACAAACTTTAGGTGGTTTCAAATCTTTCAAATCACCGTAATCTTGGATTGCAATACCATCCTTCGTATTTTTATGTGTATCTTCTTTATTTGGTGAAGACATTTTGAAAGACCTTGACAAAAGAACTTTCAGACTTTTTTGCTAAGCTTGACAGTTTTTCAAACTAATGTCTAACTGTGACGAATTTGTGACACGTAACCCGCCAATGAACATAAATAGCAACCGATTAGCGACGGACGACGAACCAACAATCTTTGGAACTTGTTTATGTTTTATTGAACTATTTGGAAAGCTTTTGGAAAGAAATTGGGAAAGAAAAGACCTATAATGGATTCAGAATCATATACGAAAATCCACCAAAATACTCCAACAACCAAGAGAGTATCAACATCTTCAGCGATTTGGCATGATGACGACTACTTGGGAAACCCAACTCTATCGGAATCATCGATAACCTTGTTTCCTCCTCCGTCAAGCGAGTTCGAGGTCTTCAGCTGTTTCGGTGAGCAAGATTGCGGGGAGCCTCCGAAGCCACAGGATTTGGTGTTCGACTTCACACCAGACCCTGAGATAGATACCGAAGAAGCGCAACTGAAGTGCATCGCGTTTTGGGATTTCGTCAATTCTCAACCACTTTTGAGGAGTATGTGTGTTGAACCTGTGAGTATACGTAACCTGAATTGTTTCAGGTAATTTGTAGATTATGTGTGTATAAGCATGAACAGACACATTACTTACTATGATATGCAATTTTTTAAAAGGTTTTGAGTGATAATGATAAATTAGGTTAGGGCCAATTGCATTTTGTCAAAATCCGCTATTAACTGTCGTATGTAACCCTTTTGAAGCCTTTTGGCATGTACAGCGAGAAGTCGGTTAGCCGCGCTGTATCTCTACGTTGTGTAGAGTTATGTCTACAGGTGCTAAGAAGCATCTTCTGAGACACAAGTCTACACTTGGAAGAAACCACCCCCATTGGTGTCACAAGTGATCATATAAGTACGATTTTGTTACAGGAACCTACATTTGTACCTGGTGCTGTACCTAAACCTGATCCGCCAATCAAAGCTCAAGTGAATACCACTCCAGCTGTAGACGTTTTGAACAAAAATGCACACAGTAAGTGTTCATTCATTCTTTACTATTATAATTAAGTTACCTAGTCACTGGAAAGAAGGGATTTCAATGTTACTATCCTCATCAAATCTGTCCTCCTGATCAACCGCGGATTCCCTACTCAGTCATTCAGTTCAATATACATCCCGAATACGTCCTATGATCCCCGCTTACCTGCTCGACAGCCGATGTAGCGCATTGGTAGTGCAACTGTTACCGACGCATCCGGTTTAGATTCGCGGTGATTCACTCACGAAGTCGATATTTATCACTTTGTGGATTTGCTCCCAGTTATGTATGACAATGTAGGCTGAACCACCTGATCGTCCCAAAAACAAGACGATTCCAACCTTCGGAGAGCACGTTAAGCCGTCGTCGGTCTCGGTAGTTGTCTATGGTTACTTAGATGGTGGTCGTTACTCAACCATGTCACGAGGCCTACGCCTACTACTGTCCCACTCGAAAAGAAGAAGTCGCAATCCTACGTTATCTAAGTCATTGTTCCTACCAACGTGAGAAATAAATACCCCATGATCTCAATATACTCCAAGGAAGTAGAATTACTACTTAGTAGATTAAAAGTACCAGAAACCAAAATCGGAGAGGCCAATAGTATTATTACGATCTTTTGATCCAGAATACTCCATAACGGGTCAAATCCGCATTTATACCAAATAATGTATTTTTTTGTTTATGCTGTTTTGTAAGTTTTAATTTAGGAAGGTATGATAAAGTGGTTTCATTAATACCTATGCTATATTTGCAGATTTCATAGAAGCAGCCTGTCGGCATAAAAACAAGTGCGATATTGACGATGATTCATACAGCGATATAGGCAAAACCAAGCCCGTAACTGGAAAATGGACGGCACGTATGTACCTATAAAATGCATTATAATTTACGAATGTATGTAATTAAATTCCAGGGAGAGGGAGGCCTTTGCCCTGCAGTGGGACATGTCTGGCTCATAATAATAATAATAATGTAACTAAATAAACTGTACATAAGAAAATAAAATTAAAAAAAAGAAGAAGCTCTACAGATGTATATATGGGAAAAACATCAGGCCCGAGTTTGAAGTAGTACATATAATTAGAGTAGTTTCGGTAGGAATTAGACGTTTTTCCGGCATGTAGGTATAATACAAATATAAACTTTCTTCTATAATATTTTATTTTCATCCAAGGAAATAGCGATGTCCATGACAGGCAGACTGTATTGATGTGACCCGTCTGTTCTTGTTTCAGCCAAATCGATGAGCACGTGTAGCACTACAAGTCCCTCGTTCAAGAAGTCTAAAGCCAACAAGAAACCCAAGCCTAAGCAGACTAACCAAGAATCAGTCAAAAAAATGAACCAAATGCTAGACGAATGGGATGAGAAGCATCCTAAGTAAGACATCTACTTATTTTTCCTGTGTTAAAATACGGAATTGAAAAAATGTTAGCGTCGGCTGAGGCTTTATCATTAGTCTAGTGACCTATGCGCAGAATTCAGTATTTGGTCTCCGAGTTCCTGTGCAAAGTTTATTTTTTCATTTACAGCCACCAAAAAGTCGACTGCTGGACATAGGCCTTCCCTTTCGAAACATATAAAAGGACTTTTATTCAGTTTCCAACAAGAAATAATATTGTTTAAGAAGTAGTCCTGACTTTGTTCGCGACTACTGCTATTATGTAGGAATTTTATAGATCGAAAAATCGTAACGGGCGATTTATTGAGTTCTTTTACTGTCTCTCTTCCCCAGATCCATGGAACCTCCTGGTCCACTGATGCGGTCCAAACCCGTCATGCAACGTTTACTACCGCAGGACCACGTGCCAAAGACGTGTTTAGATTAGTTTATAACGTTTTGATCACTTACATTAATCTAGATAGTATTTTTATTTATAAATTTCATTATTACTAATGCTTTAATTTTAAAAACTATTTTTATTTTTATTTTTTAGCATTTTAGACGAAAGGCAGAGTATGCCTACACCCCACAGTAGGAGGAGGCCCATGTCCAGCAGTGGATTATTGTGGCTGTAGTAGTAGTAGTCTTCTTCTTTTCGAGTGGGACACCGAGTCGTCCAACGTCCTGTTGAACCCTGGTGTCAGAGATTAGCAAAGTCATGTACGTTTGAAACTTTTCTTACAAATATGAAAAAAAAATTTGGACCTCCCATACTAAGTGACACATTTTTTCAGCATTTTTGTATGGGAGGTCCAAATTTTTTTTTTCATATTTGGAAGTAAAGTTTCTTACAAAAGGTTTTCAGTTTTGTGAGTAGATTACATCCTCAAGAGATTTGTACTTAATGAAATGTAACCTCATAAATTCTATAAATTAATTAAATTAAATGTATTCTCATAAATTAAATAATGAGAAAATTGAAAAATTCACTAGCGACCGCCGGGACTTGAACCCTGTGGATCACCGTTCCACCGCTCTACCGACTGAGCTACGGGCGCCTAGCGGACCCTGGTGAATTTCTCAACCTCTTGATGCTTGTCTCGAAGCGACCAGGAAATATATTGTCAACATGTAATGGAAGTCATTACTTCCCATTAAACGCTCTTCTGAAGAGTTAACGGTTTGACTAAGTGCCGGCTTCGCCGCAAATGGGTAGCGAAACTGTTAAGAATACGATGAAGGGTGACCACGAGATGTCGGCTTTTGGGTCGCTTTTGATGTGGAAAGTAGGGTGTGTTGTCTCAAAATTTACGACAGGGGCTGATTTAGTTAGGTTGTTTCAAGATAATAGACGCTATTTAGGTTAATTAAATAATTTCTTTGTCAAAAACACATGATCATTTTTACGATGCAATTTTTTCTGACCAAAACTTGTGTAGGTATTTGTTTCGGCGCTCGAGGACCCAAAGTGAGTCTCGGCCTCCGATTAGTTCTTTTTTCCTAACATACAAAACAGGAGGAAAATGAACAAATAGTTTGGATCTCCCATACAAAAATGTCTAAAACGTGTGTCAGTTTGTATGGGATTTTTTTTTCATTTCGAAAAAAATGTACCTACTAAGAAAAGTTGTTTAGTTTTACGAGTAGAACATACCCTGAAAATATTAGCATTGAATTTAATACGATCTTTACATAATATACCTAGCCACTTTCGCAGCTGAGACGAATCAACGACACCTCCCTCATAGGATAAGCTCCCATTGACAAAGTCTTACCTCATAAGGCTACCGATCGAAAGTATGCTATAACGAACGATAGACAATATTTAGGAGGT